GTCACTCTTTCAGGGATGAAGATGTTCACATCCTGGACAGAGAGGAACGATGGTTTGAGAGAGGAGTAAAGGAGGCCATCTTTGTGAAAAGAAACCGTCCATCATTAAACAGGGGTGGAGCCTCCAGGTTCAACTGTCCCCTCTTACAATGCTGTGATTGCTAGTATCACTCAGCCCTCTGTGAACAGTAAACAGCCATCAGGTGCTAATGATCCATTGTTAGGCTGATGGTCCTTCTTGAGCATGTGATCAGCTGGTTCTGGTTGTCAGCAGCAAACTGGTTGATCCACTCTGAGAAGGTGCTATTTAAGAGACTGAGCTGAATACAGCACCTCACACTGAGGAAGTCTCTCGGATGAGAGACGAAACGTTCCTACATTTTTTTGTTGTTTTGCTTTGTTTTTTTTTTTTTGTTTTGTTTTTTGAATGTCCAGAGGACCAGATTAAACTTTTTTAGATCTGTCCATAAAAGTTATGAACAGAATTGGTGACAAAAGGCAACCTTGGCGGAGTCCAACTCTCACCGGGAACAAGCCCGACTTACTGCCGGCAATGCGAACCAGGCTCTGACACCAGTCATATAGGGACCTAACAGCCCATATCAAAGGGCCCAGAACCCCATACTCCCAGAGTACCTCCCACAGGGTTCCCCGAGGGACACGGTCGAATGCCTTCTCCAAGTCCACAAAGCACATGTAGACCGGTTGGGCAAACTCCCACGCACACTCCAGGACCCTGCTGAGTGTGCACAGCTGGTCCAGTGTTCCACAACCAGGACGAAAATTGCACTGCTCCTCCTGAATCTGAGGTTCGACTATCCGATGGACTCTCCTCTCCAAAACCCCCGAATAGACCTTACCAGGGAGGCTTAAGAGCGTGATTCCCCTGTAGTTGGATCACACTCTACGGTCCCCCTTTTTGAATAGGGGAACCACCACCTCGGTCTGCCAATCCAGGGGAACTTCCCCCCGATGTCCACGCAATATTGCAGAGTCGCGTAAGCCAACACAACCCTACAACATCCAGAGTCTTAAGGAACTCTGGGCGAATCTCATCCACCCCTGGGGCCCTGCCACCGAGGAGCTTTTTAACCACCTCGGTGACCTCAGCACCAGAGATTGGAGGGCCCATCCCAGAGTCCCCAGGCTCTGATTCCTCAGTGGAAGACGTGCCGGTGTGATTGAGGAGGTCTTCAAAGTATTCTGCCCACCGACCCATGACATCCCGAGTAAAGGTTAGCAGCACACCACCCCCACTATAAAAAGTGTTGGTGGCGTACTGCTTTCCCCCCCGAGACGCCGGATGGTGGACCAGAATCGCCTCAAAGCTGTGCGGAAGTCATTCTCCATAGCCTCTCCGAACTCTCCCATGCCCATGTTTTTGCCTCATCGACCACCTGAGCCGCATGTTGCTTGGACTGCTGGTACCCTTCAGCTGCTTCCAAGGTCCCACTGGCCAAAAAGGTCAGAAAGGACTCCTTCTTCAGCCTGACAGCATCCCTCACCGACGGTGTCCACCATCGGGTTCAAGGGTTACCGCCGCGACAGGCACGAACAACCTTGCAGCCGCAGCTCCGGTAAGCCGCCTTGACAATAGAGGCACGAAACATGGCCCACTCAGACTCAATGTCCCCCACCTCCCCCGGAACATGTTTGAAGTTCTCCCGGAGGTGGGAGTTAAAGCTCCGTCTCACAGGAGACTCTGCCAGACGTTCCCAGCAAACCCTCACAACACGTTTGGGCCTGCCAGGTCTGACCGGCATCCTCCCCCATAAAGGTTCAATAAATGTTAAATAAAGGTTAAATAAATATTAAAGTAAATTTTAAATAAATGTTAAATAAATGTTACTTAAATGTTAAATAAATGTAAATAAAGGTTCAATAAATGGTTAAATGTTAAATAAAGGTTAAATTAAGGTTCAATAAATGTTAAATAGAGGTTAAATAAATGTTAAATGTTGATGTTTTTCTTAGTTCATATCTTAGATGTTATTACTGTTTTTCTTATACATTTTATTGTTGGATGTAACTGGGACCCTGTGGACATAATTTCGCTCCACCACATGTACCACATGAGGTGCGAATGACAATAAAGAAACTCTGACTCTGAAATAAAAGTTCAATAAATGTTAAATAAATGTTAAATAAAGGTTAAATAAATATTAAGTAAATGTTAAATAAATGTTAAATAAATGTTAAATAAAAGTTCAATAAATGTTAAATAAAAGTTCAATAAATGTTAAATAAATGTTAAATAAAGATTAAATAAATGTTAAATGTTAAATAAAGGTTAAATAAATGTTAAATAAAGGTTCAATAAATGTTAAATGTTAAATAAAGTTTCAATAAATGTTAAATTAAGGTTAAATAAAGGTTCAATAAATGTTAAATTAAGGTTAAATAGAGGTTAAATAAATGTTAAATAAAGTTAAATGCAGGTTAAATAAAGGATAATAATAATAAAAACAGAAATAAAAATGTTCCAACCTGTCTACGTTCTCATTGGTCATCACTGAGACTCCTCCTACAGGTGTCATATTTCAGGTGTGCTTGGATCGGTTCTGGACCTGCTGCCCTGGGTTCAGCCCCACAAGCTGTTGAAGCAGGTCTCCAGTGTTTCTACATGTTCACCTCTGTCTGCGTGGGGGGGGGGGGGCACGTGGGGGCGGCGGCCCCTCAGCATTGTTGATGATCACATCCTGCTCGGGGACAAACTGTCAAGGATCTGATGGCAGAGGATCCCACACACAAACTCAGAATGGTTTTAAAATGTTTATTGAATGAATAAACAGCTTCTGATGATTCGGGTCCAGAGCTGGAACTGTGTCTAAAACGATACAGAGGAGAGGTTAGTGTTTTGACAGAATAACAACAGTTATCTGAATACAGACGGTCTGGAAAAACACTAACCTTTCTTGTTGTCGGGGGCTGCTCAGCAGAGACACAGAGCTGCAGGGACCAAGGAGAATCCAGAGGCGTAGTCGAGGACGAGCAGAGTTCATTAACGGGATCCGAAAAGGCGACAGTACCAAAAGGGAGAGGCGAAATCCAAAAACGTGCAAAGGTCATTAACAAGGTCTGAAGGGCTGAGGTACAAAAGGGGCAGGCAAAAAGCGTGGTCGAGGAAACAGGCGTGGGTCAAGATACAAAGAGCTGTGAGACTATGGAAACGCTGGATAACTGTGACAAAAGCAAGCAGTTGATCTGGCAAAGAGTGAAGAAAGCAGGAAGTATAAATACACCCAGAAACAGGTGGAGACCATCAGCAGTAATCAGAGAGAGAGAGAGAGAGGTGTGACATGCAGCAGGCTGTCAGAAGCAGCAGAGGAAAATACCAGAGGAGCAGAGGAGAATATCAAACAGTGAACAGAGTGATAAATAAAAGGAAAAACAGAGTGTAAACTGTGACACAAACACTTCTCTGATGGACTGTTTTTGTCTGACCTCTGACCTCTTGGTGCTCCAGATTCTTCATACATCTGTCATGACGGTGAACGAAAGCGTCGCTGACACCAGCAGTCCAGGAGGCAGGCCATTCTCCACGCCGCCACCACGACTCACCCTCAACAGGCCCTTCATCTTCATCATCTACCAGGAGTCCACCAGCTGCCTGCTCTTCATGGGCCGAGTCACCGACCCCACACAGAAATAAACCGTTACCTGACCCACCCCACTGCACCTGCCAGGTTCTGGTGTTTCCTGTACTTAACAAAAATGTCATGAGGTGTTACAGGGTCACCTGAGAGATCCAGAAGTAAACAAACATTAAGCCCAAACTCTACTTCTTATTTGGTGCTTGACATTTGTTTACTAATAAACAAGATTCTGTGTTGAACCTGCATCCTGTTACTGTCAGCGTCACACACATTTATTGACATTAGCATCAGCTTAGTGTCAGAAATATTGATCAAAATACTAAAAACTGTCAGAAATATCACTTCTCTGTTTTGCATCAGACCAACATTTAACACAGATTTGATCTTAGTATCATTAAGCACTTTCTACTTATTATTAATAATGTTACTCATGTCCATTAGCATCATGTAGGTACAGTCAGGTAGATTAATGCATGTGTCTTGTCGACTGTAACATCACTACACTGAACCAATGTGTTCGCATCTGTATTAGTGTTAGCCTGTATGTATACTTTTGATGTGGAGTGGATTAAACAAATTCATTTGTTTGCACCAACTTCTTTTTTATCACTGAAGTTATGTGCTGAACAATCATTTCTCTTTGGAAAAAGAGCAGTTCATATAAATCATTCAGAAATCACTGTCTCACATTCATTCCCAGGAAACTTCTAACTGCAACTGCTGCTCACGAGAGGAAGTCTGGACCCCCTGAACCTGTTGCTCTCTGATATGTCAGACCGCTGGATAGATGAGGTTGGATGATGGATGGATGGATCCAGATGCATGCTCAATAATCCTGGTAGAGAAATCTAATAAAGTTAAGTCAGGTCCTCTGGACATAAAAAAAAAATAAAATGTAGAAACGTTTCGTCTCTCATCCTGAGGACTTCCTCAGTCTGAGGTGCTGTATTCAGCTCAGTCTCTTAAATAGCACCTTCTCAGAGTGGATC